AATGCTGTGCTAAAAACACTCTATATTTGCATCTGTAATGCTGCCTTCTTTACTAGCATTTCTCATTGCTGACTCTCATCTCAGCTTCTTATTCTCCCATCTGACCGTGATCAATATTGTTTTCCTTAAATTAGCCAGTTTTTCGTTAATGGTACGATACCAACGAAAGAAGAAGGGAAGGCAGAGAGTATAACAACGATACAACTATTTCTCCAAAAGGAAGAAGCATTACCTGGAATGCATCGAGGAAATATAATGAGAGATGATGGAGGAAAATAAGGGAAGGAAGATTTCCTCACAAGGAGGTTTTAAGTAGAGTCTGGCAATGATCTCCCAAAGGAAGTAGTGGAAGTCTGGTCACTTAAATCAATTAAAACTAACCAGAGCATTGCACTCCACAGGACTCTGTAAGGAGAAAAGCAGTGTCAGACTGACCTAAAATAGATTTGCATGCTTATTTTCTGCAGGGCTGCTGTCTGTATTTTGCCGGTAAATTCAATATGGCTAATGCTGATTAACAACTCTCTTGATGGTGATTATAGCATTGCATTATTTCCAGCCCGTTCCTCAGTATCATACACTCATGAGGGCATGGACATACAAAACATGTCCCCTGGCTCAGCTCAGGGCTGCTCTGTATTTTGCCGGTAAATTCAATATGGCTAATGCTGATTAACAACTCTTGATGGTGATTATAGCATTGCATTATTTCCAGCCCGTTCCTCAGTATCATACACTCATGAGGGCATGGACATACAAAACATGTCCCCTGGCTCAGCTAGCTCAATCTTAAAGACAAGTGGCAGATAAAGGGCTGGAGAACTTTCTTTCATTCACCTTAGCAGTGGTCAGGCTTGTTATCACCACAACGCTGAATTGACGTAGACCTCCATACCACATGCTGAGCGTGGTGTACCTGTGGCAGTACGGCAGAGGCAGGAGCTGCATATGGACCCCCAGCGGTTGATCTCTTGGATTGCTGTAGAGCAAGAAGATGTGCCAGGTGGCTTAGGTAGGGCTGCAGTACCCATGTCCTCTGTGCACTAGGTGTGCAGAAGGGTTTTAATGCATACAAGACCAGCTGGGGACAGGAGCAAGAGAAGATAAAGCGATTCATCCTTAGACTTGGCAGGGTGTTTGGCATGTTCCAAGTACACAAGAGAAGTCCTCTCCTGGCCTGCCTTGAAAGATAAGGGAAAGCAAGCCTCCGAGAAGCTGAGATCTTTGCTTTGCCTTTCTTGTCTGTATGGGCATTGTTGTTTTGTATGTATGTTTTACCTTTTGTCTGCCTGGTTTTCTTGTAGCCAGCCAATTACCTTTTCTCTGCCTGGTTTTCTTGTAGCCAGCCAATTCCATTTAAACAACAGAAATGGGTAGAAATTGGAATAAGGCAGATGATTGGAGCGCAGGGAAGCAGTGACTTGGCATATGAGCTTGGACAAGGTGCCCAGTGGAGGTTCCCAAAAATTGACCTGCCTACTTAAACATTAATTTACATGGAAAATAAGGTTTAAAAGCAAACAAGTCTTGGACATATGGCATCTTATGTACAGTAGGGGAAGAAAATTAACTGAGATTGTTGCTGGCATGTGTTTTACCCATCCAACAAAGGTCTCTCTCACATGTAAATGAAGACTGTTATATCAGAGAAATAATCTGTTTCATTCTGCATACACAGATCAACTTGGTTTCACTAACTGTTTTCACTGGGATGCATCAGTCAGGTCAAATCATTTTAAAAGACTGTTCTTACCTCTTCCTACAGAAATGCGTGTGTGATGGTAATACACGCAGCTTCGAAGCCTTTTCTTTCCTAATGTGCAGTGCTCACAGCCACGCTCCAGCGCCTCAATTCCAGCCTTTCTGCCAGAATGCATCAGATGTGGGCGGTCCCAAAGCTGGTGGGGCTGAGGCAGGGGACCTGCCACCAGAGCCAAATCAATATTTAGACAGCTTCAGGCGGCAGAGATTGCACTGGCTTTCACACTTGGCAGCAAGCTTTGCATCCGTTTGTTACCAAAGTTATTGTTTGTGCCGTTTCAAGCATTGGCACTTGAGAGATTCCTCCCTGAGGGCAATGACAAGTCGGGTGCTTGAAAAGAAACTTTCCCCCTTTGGATCTGAAGATTGTGAGAGTGAGGAAAGTTGTGAAAGTGGGTAGATCTCGTAACGAAGTCAAGGCACATATTTGACCAGCGTTTTCATCATCCTTCACTTGAGGCATCTGCCAGGCATCGTGGCGAGCCCACAGCACAGTCTCAGGCTCTGCTTCTGATAATCCAGCGCAGGATATCTGTAACAGCTGTCTTGCTGCTCTTTGTTATCACGGTGGTTTAATGGGAGTGAAAACCTGAGTCAGTGTGGGAGACAGCCTTGCTGTGGGGTGGTATGAGTCAGCCCGAGGCTCTGCAGCGGGAGGACAGGCAGGTGAAACCCTGGCCCAGCACAGAAAATTAATTTGCTTTCCAGTCATTCCACCTAGTGGCCAAGTGACACAACTGCCAGGAGAGCTGGGTTTGTGCTCCAGAGTCCCTCCTCATCAAAAGGGACCCAAAAACTCAGACAGTATTTATGGCTGCTCCTACAGATCTGCACTGCTGCGGAGCTTACAAGATATGTAGGAATATGTAAGCCCCCACACTGAAGATTTTATCAAAGAGAAACATTGGCCTGTGAGTAGCTCATTAAGTTCCCGAGCAATTTTGTTAATCATGCTGCATAGATAAAATGCAGATAGGCCTTTAGTGAGCTGATAATCTAACAAATAGGCAGAAAGTGTAACACTGATAAAGCAGAGATCGGTTTAATAGCCAGCTGTAAATCTAGGCAATTCTGTACCAGCGGCATATGGTAAAACGGGAATGTGCAAGTGCATAAGTATGTGCATGAAAATGCGCTCTTTCTTAAAATAGCAGATACAGCAGTAATATTATGTATGGAAAAGCTATTGGGAGCAATTTTAGAGGTGTTTTAAAATATTTTTCTCTCCATCAAAGTCCGCACCACTTGTGCTGTCTTCATAATCCAGCATCACAAGTGCAGCTCTATGAATAACAAAGGCTTGTTTCTGGAAGACAGGATTTTCTATAAAAATCTGTGAGCTCTACCACTGGTCCTGAGGCAGTGTAAGGAATTTATAGGCTTTTCATTGGGATGAACCAAATTATTCACTCAGATTTATGCTAATCACAAATAAGACCATCACAAATTCATGGTCTGATGTCTCACCGACCTCTTGAGCAGCTCCTTGCTCAGGGCTGTTAATTCAATTGGAAGGACAGGGAAAAGCAGCTCACCTTCAGAGGGTATCCCATACCTACTGGATAGGATATCCTTCTGAGGAGCTGGGAAATGTCAGTTTGAATCCCCACAGCCTAGGGAAGGGACCTGGTCTCCTACTTTCTGGGTCCTTCTTCTGATCTTTAGGCTATTCTACGAAAAGGGGACAGCAGTGCTTCCTCTTCTTGTTTGTTTTAAAAGAAGAAACTGAGCTGGGAACACCTACCAGAGACACCTACAGCCAGAGCAAGGTTGCAGGCTGTGCATCCCAACCTCACATAGGTGTGCAGGTGCACACGTAGGTGCCAGATGTGGTTGCTGTTGGCTGGTTTAGCTGTCTGACTGCTCTGAATCACTTCTAGATGCCTTTCCTTGGTATGCAAAGCACAGGGAACTCAAATTTGTGCATACGACTTGCAAGCAAGGCAAGAAGGTGTCTTGGTGAATCGAGACTGAAGTGACTTGCCAGGGTCATGTAGAAGGTGGTTGGTGCAATGGGAAATTGAGTTGTGGTCTCCCAAATCTCAACTTAGTGGCCAAACCACTGAATCTCCTTTTTGTGGAGAAACCTTTATCCTTGATGGTGAGCCCTGGTTTTGAAGCAGCCTCTCGCTGCTTCATAGAGAGTAGAGTTTTTCCAGTACCTTTGTTTCCTGCCCATTGGGAGGAAAAAATGCATCAGAAGTTAGTGCCAGAGCATTTTTCGTCAAAAAATAGACTATCTATAGTTTACCATGTGGCTTAGCAAGTTATTTGATAGTTATATGTGAAGATATCACTGTAAAAAATCTGGGGGGAGAAAGTGTGTATTTTTTAATATATGATATGTGAATGTAAAATATAGCGTAGATGGTATGATGGGAAAAAAGGACGAGTAGTGGTGCATAACTCAGACCTGGAACAGTTGGTTGGAGATCACTCTCCTGGAAACAGTTGTTACTCTTTCTACAAAGAAAATGGTGGAAAATTAAGTATCTGAGGTGGGACTCAGAGTGATTTGTATCACTTGAACAATGAATATGGATTTCTTTCCTCTTAGCTGTACCTTAGACTCACTAAAATCAGGAACAGTATGAGGAGAATAATCTCCATGGGATGGAGAAAAGAGCTGTGCAGTCAGTACTTACCTATTTATTCAGCAATGGCTTGCAAAACTTTGAGAAGAAAAAGAGGAACCAGTTTGCTCTTGAAAGAGGCAGAAAGATAAGGAGGCAGAAAGATATTTTCTGTTGAATTTTTCTATAGTATTAAATGTTTCCTTCCCAAAACACTTTTGATGTTTAAGGGGTATCTTAAACTTGAAACCACTGTTCACTAGAGCTTCCATCAGGGCAGAAGAATCAAATTTGAATTGGTACTTTCAGGGTGGTGGGCTGCATCACAGTTAAAATAAGATCTATCCAAGAATTAGCAGTGTCCACACCAGCCTGTTTTTTCAGTCTTTTATTACAGCAGAGTCTTAGTTCATAGGCCTTCAAGATATTTGGGAAAAATAATGCTCAGCTCAACCTGTACAATGATGTACAGGAGCAGCATAAAGGGAGCAGTGCTAGTTACTGGATGTAGCATCATTGCTGACCTGATAGACAAATAACTGGTACTGAGCAGTATTTATTTCTGGACGCTAGATCTGTTAGGTTATCTAACTACGTGATGAGGGACTTGGGATGATTGCAGGAGCTGATGGTAACGCTGGCCATTTCCCTCTCTGTTTTTTGCAGGTCACTGTCAGGGGATTTGGTCCATTGTTACAGTTTGCCTACACTGCTAAGCTGTTACTCAGCAGAGAAAACATCCAGGAGGTCATCCACTGCGCTGAATTCCTGCGCATGCACAACCTGGAGGACTCCTGCTTCAGTTTCCTTCAGACGCAACTGCTGAACAACGAAGATGGCCTGTTCCTGTGCAAAAAAGATACCGCCTGTCAGCGCATGCACGATGAGGAGAACTCGGATGGAGACGAGGAGGAGACGATGGAATCGGAGACGTCAAAAATATCTTGCCCAAGAGAGAGGATGCACCAAGAGCCCTTCAATTTTGAAACCACTGTTGCTGGAGCAGACAAAGGCGAAGGGATGCTGCCTGACTCTGACATGCTGAGAGATAGCAAGGACAATTTGGACAAAGATGCGGTAACACGGTACCCCAGATACAAGAAATACCAGCTTGCTTGTACCAAGAATGTCTACAACACATCACACATCAGTACCTCAGGTTTTGCAAGCACATTCAGCGAAGAGAGCTCTGGAAATGGCCTCAAATCAGGACTTGCTATGGGGCAGATAAAAAGCGAGCCTCAGAATGAAGAGAACGATGAAGAAAGCATCACACTTTGCCTGTCTGGAGATGAACCTGACATCAGGGATAAAGAAGGGGATGTTGAAATGGACAGGAAACAGCCAAGCCCCACTTGTGTCGACAGGCCAAAAAGTGGGTCCTCTCCTTCTTGCTTGCGGTCTTTCTTCAACAGAACAAAAAGCATAGATTTGGTTGGCTTCCCCAGCACTTCCCAACAGCACTTTGGCAGGAGTCCAGCATGCCCTTTTGAAAAAGGGACAACTCAGGGTGACCACAAAACTGATTACGTCCCTTTCACAGGGAACTATGGACAGTCCCATGCCATGCAGAAGGATGCTTCCAACTTCACAGTGGGATCGCCTCTCAGGGGGCCCGGCTTTGAAACTCTCTGTAAGCAAGAAGGGGAGCTGGACAGGAGGAGTGTTATATTCTCTTCAAACGCTTGTGACCAAGTAAACACTTCGGTGCATTCATATTCTGGTGTGAGCAGCTTGGACAAAGACCTCACTGAGACTGTGCCAAAGGGTCTGTGGGCTGGCGGTAGCCAGTCTCTCCCCAGCTCTCAGACCTATTCGCACAGCGGACTGACAGCTGATCACTTGCCGGGAAGGATGCGGCCGAACACCAGCTGTCCGGTGCCAATTAAAGTTTGCCCTCGCTCTCCTCCTTTGGAAACCAGAACCAGGACCTCCAGCTCGTGCTCTTCCTACTCATACGCAGAGGACGGCAGTGGCGGCTCTCCCTGCAGTCTGCGTCTTTGTGAGCTCTCCTCTTCCCCTTGCTCCCAAGGCCCCCGATTCCTGGCGCCCGAGCACCAGGAGCCCGGCGTAGTGGGGGATGGATTGTACAACCCAGTCCGAGCCCAGATTAAATGTGAGCCATCCTATGGAACAAACTCCAGCGATGAGTCTGGGTCATTCTCAGAAGCAGACAGTGAATCATGTCCTGTGCAAGACAGAGGGCATGAGGTAGGGATTTAAGATAAGTACATATATCGCAGTCGTTGTGACCCAATTAATCGCTCCTTTATTCTCTTGAATGACTTGGCATTTCCCCAGCACTTTCTTTGTTTGAAGAGCCAAAGAGTAACTTCTATTTATTCCCTCGTCAGCTGAGTGTGCATGGTTGACTTCACGTAAATAGGTCTGCTTGACCTCCGAGGTGTTTGGCACTTATCAGAATTTGGGTATGGGGCAATAGCAAACTGCTGAATAATGAGAGTGCATTGACATGCTTAGGAGTCTACTAGCACTGTCCTGTCCTCCTCCCTCCTTCACCCATGGCACGAAGCACCGTTCCTCACCCTTAGTTTGCCGAGGTGGTTCTAGTTCCACTTGTTGTTGCTGCTGGTGTTTGAGCAACCTCAAGCTGTGCCTTCACTGGCACCGGGCATCGGGCAGCCTGCACCAAGAGCCCCTGCTGCATATCACTAACAGCCCGAATAGAGGAGGCAGACAGAGTGGGAGGAGAAAGAGGTGTGAAATGACTTCAACAGTTGCATAGCTGGCCACCCTCGGCTGCAGGAATGGTGTTCAAGTCATCGGGGGGGGGGGGGGGGGGGCGGGGTCGGGGTATGGGGGGCACATGCAGGTAATGGGTTTTGCCTCCGTTAAGTGACAACTGAGATGATGTTTCCTGCCCGTGACCCCACTTTGTTTGGTGGTGACCTCTAGCAGCCATTGCATAAATGGTCTCAAAGAGAAGCTATCCTTTAATTTACAGGACTGTTAGGAGAATGGCAGGGGGACGGTCAGGGACTGGAGAGCAAGCTGTAATTGTCGTGCAACTCTCCCGTGAGAGGGAGGAGAAAGAGGGCCTGCTTTGAAACTAGAGATGAGCCAGCTGTAGATGCTGCGGTGATAACCGGCTAACCATGATCAAATAAACTGTCTGAGTGAAGTCACTAGTTTGAGGGAAGACTTAAATCATGGAGAAGCATTGTGGAGCCCAGAAACTGAAAAAAGACTGGATGTTTTAATAGAGTTTCATTAGGAAGCGGCATGACCTGGAGAGCACCTGTGCGAAATCACGTATCTGGCTCCTCTAGTTAAACACTGAAATGCTCTGCTGAGAGCTTGTGCTTCAGCGTGGGGAGCAACAAGTGCAAGTTTGGGGGGTTCACGTGCTGTGAGCACTCAGGACAGAACCAGTTGGGTTTAGTTGTAGGTTAGGGATGAAAAGAGTGAACTTTATTTTATCCCTCAATCCTTATTCTAGCTACATCCCAGGCTCTGGAACATACCTTCCAGACAAACATGGATGATTCCTTTAGTTGGGTGGTTTTCTGCCTAGCTCTAAGGAAGAGCTGAAGAGCCTGGGGAGCCTCTGGTGTCCTAAGCCCTGTCATGCTGTACCTGTGGTTTTGAGAGGATGGTTCTTGTTTGTCGCCATGTCCTGAGCTGGGGACAATGCAGAAGGGAGAGGAGTCTCCTTGGACGGCTGCCTGGGATACTGTGCGTAAGACCTTATTTGGGAAGCCCTACAGCAGAACCACTCTGCTTGGCAATACCAACGTTACTCGGTGAAGTCCTGCCTTTATGAGGGGCAGAAGGGAGCAGGGAGTGGGACCGAGGCGAGCGTCAGATCTCCACCCACGTGTGCTGCTTGCTCAGCAAGGGCTAATGCACAGCGTGAGGCAGTGAAGAGGGCGGGAGGTTAGCCTTGTGGGGTTTGATGACTAATTAGCTATCGTAATTGGCTAATTGTGTGGAGATGCTGCAACAGAAATGAGCCCGGAAGAGTCAGATGAGAAGGGTATAAGGGATTGTTGGTGGTTTCCTGAAAAAAGTGTGCGAATGTGTGCAGGAGAGCATGGATGAGAGGAGGGACATTCACGAGAGGAGCAAGCCGGTGGGGTACAGGAGGCCGTCTCCATGTGCCACAGGCAGGCTCTGGGGCAGAGAGCCGGTGGGGTACGGGAGGCCCATGTGCCACAGGCAGGCTCTGGGGCAGAGCTAGGAAGGGTTTGCTCCCCTCCTAGTTTTGCTGCTGATTTCCTCCTGGGAAGATTTTCTGCACCACGCTGAGCAAGTTTTCTCACTGGGACTGCTGATAAGGCTTTTTTTTTTGCCTTTTTTTTTTCAGGGCATTTTGATTAGGACTGCTAGGCATTAAAAATGTGGTGAGGAAATTAATGTTCCATGAGGTTGCACTGCACTATCTCGAGCAAGCAAAGGGTAAACAGATCACACCAGTGCTTCGGTAGAAATTTTGTCTGAAAAATGAATTTGTAAAGGTTGTTACCAATACAAGAAAGGACATTGTAGCCTCATTAAACAATGTTGTATTTACACAGTGACTTGGGGCATATCCTGCAATCCTGCAAGATCCGCTGCTGTGGAAACCTCAGTGAAGGATACGTTAAACCAGGCAGTAGAAAATATCTAATGGCAGCAGGAAGTTCTTGTATCAGTAGCTCTACCTACTTTTAGCAGTTTGACTGCCATTAAAACAGCAGGAGAGACTCACAGCAGTCTGAAATGGTCTGCTTTCTGTCCTTCACCTCCCCTTAAGCTGCATGGGAATCTTTCTCCATTCCCAAAATTGTCAGTCTGCCCTTGCTGTCCTGATGACTTCCCAGACGAGTCCCTTGCCCCCTGTCATATCAGATGACACAGTGTTTGCTGGGCTTCTCTTCAAAAAGCACCTGATAAGATAGCTGGGGATGACATACAGGCGCTCACCCCTCTGGAGAGCGGCCGTGCAGGCTCTTCTGCTGCGGGTGAGCTTTCATTTGGGTGGGATGGCCTGATGGGAATAAGCCTGATGGACTCTGACCCTCGGTTATCTCACAGGGCTGCTCAGTTCCACTGGAATTTGGACCTTGCTGGTCTTGATCTGGGTCCCAGAGTGCTGTCGGTGCCAGAATTAATGTCACAAAATATCATTTGCTGGTGTATTGATTGTGTGAGAAGTAGGTGAAAGATTTCTTCTCTCTGCTTTTTTCGGGCACTCTGCTTTCCCGCAGATGGATGCCATTCAGGAGCACATGCCCAAGTTGTTTGGTGCTAGGGCTCAGCGTGCGTGCCGTGCGGGTGGAGGTGACCCTGCTCTGTGGACAGCCTCCCTGTCCCATACAGGGGTGCAAGTGTGAGAGGAGGTGGCGGTCCCCATAACATTGCTGCTAAATCCTCTCCGGGATGTCTTTGCCTTTTGTTTTCCTTCCTGTTAAGGGAGCCACCCAGAATCTTCTGAGATTTCCCTTTCTTAAGGCTTCGTGATAGAAGCAGCAAGTTCAATGTGGGGTATCCCTGTGTTACAGAGTTGCAGGAACGGGGCTATTACTTGACCTGCTGGGACTTTACAGAAACATTTAACAATTTGTGTTGCTCTTTTCACCCAGCTCACTTAGGCCTCCACAGGTTGTTAAAAATCAATTATTGGGATATAATACTAGAGAGAAGACTTACGCTTGGTGCTTGCAGGCAGGTTCTGACAATCCTGCTTAAAATAGCAACAACAAAACAATAAGTCCTGAAATAATTTGTTGAGAAGGAAGTAGTCTGTCAATCTGTTAACCTACTTAGGAACAGAAACTTCAGCACTACCTACTTTTCTTGATACTCATTTTCTTCAGCAAGTGTCTATGGTTTTTTTTCTGCTAGAAAACTTGTAAAAAATATTGTACTGCTAAACCAGTTAAAAAGAAATCTCAGCTCAGTCCAATTTGATGAGTGAGTTTTCTTAGGAAAAGCATAAACAAGGGTAGGAGGAGGTAAAAGGTGCAGTTTTCCAAGAACTGCATTGAATTGAATTGCATTCAATGTGTCTTTCATTTATATTTCAAAATAATTTCCCGCCTGGGTTAGTGACTCACTTTTAAAAGGAAATTTTCATAAAGGCAGAGCTAATGCAGTTGGACCTTTGAGGATATTGTAGGCAAATAACCTTCAGTGAGAGTCCAAAACCCTCCATGTTAAGTGATAGGCAGCCACCCTTTCTCTGTTCGTCTGCTGATGCTTAGCGGAGTCAGAACCCCAGCAAAAGGAGGTAAACCAAAGTTGCCCTACCAGAAATCTACTGGAGCTGTGCTGAGTCACCTAAGCTGAGTCTTCTTCACTGCTTGATGTTCCTACTCAGTGAAGAGTGTTATGTAGAAAGAAGGGCAAACAAGGAAAATGCATGTTAAGGTGTTAACCTGCTTTTGTATGTAGTTTCTCCACAGAATTTGGTGATCGGTCACCCCAGCTTTCCTGATCTTACTAGGTTTATAAATTTGAAAATGAGAAAGTTATTCTCCATGTTCTTCTCTGGTGGATGTTTGCCTGACCAGGATACTCAGCGGCATCAGCAGAGCACTGGGAATTGTGTTTGGCAACATCTGGTTAAATGGAGTCTTGTCAAACATCGGTCTTGCAAGCTAAACTTCATGGCAGTTTTGTTTTCTTTCTCTCTTCAGTAGGAGTGGTATCCATGCCGGTAGCAGAGAATTACTGGATTATAACAGTATGAGTTTTCCATTACAAGCTTGAAATTTCAGGAAGGTCCTTTTAAACACTATTATTTCATTGCAGCCTACAGTCAATTCTGTTATGCCCTGAGCTGAAGCCCTTGCTGGAGCGCTTGAAGGACTCTTTCCACTTCTTGTATTTTTTCTGCAAAAGCAGATTTTTCAGAGAAATACTGCACTTTATCCCCCCTCGTTTCACTGCCTGATCTGCCCTTCTCAAATGCCTCTACAGCTTCTGTCAGGGTTTCTGTGCTATCCCTGTTCACAGAAAAGCCTGTTAATGGGCAGGAGTATTGTATTGTCATGCCCTTTGTAGGGCTGGAAGCTGAGGACATTGCAAGCAGTGAACAGGAAGAGGTCAGCTCAGCATTTTAAGCACCAGTGGTGTGTGATCTGAATACAAGTCCAGATCATGGGCTAAAGGATGAGAACTCCATCCACATCTCCTGATTGTTGGGTTAAAGCCCTCAGCCATAGGACTAGCCCCTTCCCCCAGTTCTCTGATGCAGGTGGCAAATCAAAAGGCTACCCAGGCTGCCTCCACTGAGTGCACAGCAGTGCCCTCTCAGGCAGCATTTGCTGACCCAAACACCTCTCACGGCCCTCAGGAGGGGCTGGAGTTGACCCCAGGCACCTACGTGGCCATCAGTTGTGTTGTGGCAGATAGGACAGGCTGTTTGCAGTGGGACCTGCTGATCAAGCCTGTTTCAGACCTGGTTTGTTGACAAAATGGTAGATCTTCACTGCCTGGGCTCGCCGTTCTCCTCTTGCAGTCCTCTGCCATCTTGGTGTGGCTGACACCTGAAAAGAAGAGGTGCTTTGAAGGCTTTACCTATGCCAGTAGACAGTGGGGTGAGGAAACAAGTGAGAGTGCATCCTGCCTGTCCTTCGTCTTACACAAAGTGTGGCCCATTGGCTTTGTGCTTCTTAGATAGCCTCCGTCCAAGTGAAATCAGGTGGGTCCCTATTCTGTGGGACCACAAGCAGTGCCTGAAATAGCGTGTAGGCAATCGAGCCCCTAACACAGGTAGACACACCTCAATTCCTGTCCTGGGATGACTTTCTTCCTGAGCATTTGTGGAAGACAGACTTGCACGCTAAGGAAGATACTAGGAAAAACAGCATTAATGTGATGGGCTCTTCTATGTGAACCAAATTACCCCTTTCTACATCAAAAAAGCATTGATACGATTCAGCCCCTGTGCTAGATTGCTTGGGTGGGTCCTGAGAGTTTTTCAAGGGCTGGGCAATTTTAAGTGTCAGAGGCTTTCAGTAACTCTGGCTTTCAATTTAAAGGCATTAAGGCAACAATTTTATTTCTTACAACTTTGGAGCAACTGTCCAAGATTTTGAACCATTTATAAAGGTCAAGCTGATACCTTGAGTTCCACTCTCCCATGCCCAATACATAATGATTACTTTTCCTTACGGATAATATATGAATCCTTTTAGTTACTGTGATGTTAAGCCAGGCTTGGGAAGTTCGTTGTCTTTACTAGCACCTGGCAGCTCAAGGAAGATGATGTTGAAATTTAGATATAAAGAAAGAGTGAAAAAGCTAATGTTACTCATGAGATAAGGAAATTCCCAACACTTGACATTTATATTTTAATGTGAGTGAATACAGGGCCTTGGTCCTTTCCTTTATTCCAAAGAAGAAGAGAGGGGGGAGAGCAACAGCAGCAGTAACTAGTACGGTACGTGAGCGGCACAGCAGTAACTGGCATATGATCCAAGCTGGCACTAACTAGTGAAGCTTGAAGGAATTAATTGGTTATATGTGGGCCTTTCATGTGCTGAGTCAATGGCTGTCCCTGTCTGTCTAGATCGCTGCTATTACTTAGCCGCTCAAAGCAATGACATTTACACTGGCATCCTAATGCTAATATGGGGGGGAAATGCCACAAAATCCTAAACAAGTTTTCTTTTTCACCAGGGTGGGTTGGCTGTCCTCTCAGGGGTGCATCAGCCAGTCGGGGGCAATAGAGGCTGCAGTGGTGGCAGAAAGTGCCGGTTTATTTGTTGTGTGGTGGAAACAGAGCCTCTGCTGTTGGTGTAAAAATGCAGGGAAAGAGTAATTGTGCTGATAAGGAAGATTTTAGAGCTCTGTGAGGTTAGCTCTGGCTGGAGTAACTCCTGGAAGGAGTAGGGATCCCACTTACATTTCTAATTTGAAATAGTCTGAACCAGAGAGTACACAGTCATTTCCTGTATAAAATTCATAGCTATTAAAAAGAAAAGTTTACGAGAAAACATACTTGCTGGGTTTTTCTTAAGCACCTTAGAAAAGAGTGACTGTCCTTTTTCAGATACCTCAGGTAAGATTTCTCTCACCTACCTTAGATACTGTAAGATGCAGCATCTTTTCTAAGTCTCATCTGTGCTCCTTCTGCAGCCAGGAGGAGGGAGAAGCCATGCAGGATGCATTGCCATCCAAAGGCCTCTCCGTCCTCGATGCCACCAGCAGGGACCTGGACACTAGCTAGTCCCAACCTGTCATTTCAGACGGCTCTAAGTGGGTCAGATGAATCCCACTCGTGGCACAGTCGTCGGCTCTTGCAAATTGACTTACCACTCTGTTGTGATAAATACCAGCTGAGAGTCTTGCCCTGTGCCGATGTAAAACGCCATTAGCCTCTCACTGCAGCAATACCCTGGCGCAGTTATTCACTGTGTCCGTGCCAAAGGCTTGGTGGGGTTTTTTTTCAGTTGACAGCTAATTGCGGGGAGGGAGACAGGCAATAAAAATGCTGTGAATGTTGAAGGAAATTAGTCTGACTCGCTTCCACTCTCCCTTTCACGTTTTTAATCCTGCGCAGTGCTGCCTATGACAGGAGTGGGATTATGCTGGGTTCACTGATAGCAGTCTCTGACCTGCTGTGTAGATGGTTTTATTTTCAATCCGTTATTTTTTTTATGAATCTGTTTCTGTTTATTTTCCCATTTCCATTCAGCGACTTCTACCTGACAGATTTAAGTTGCTTCCCTTTCACTCCCATTCCAGCTGCAAGCACATCTCCTTGCAAGTAAATATGTTTTGAAAGGGAGAGGGAGGGAGAAATAAAGTTAACATCACTTTCCGCTTTGGACTTAAGAAAATAAGGAAAAACTGGGAATGTGAAAGGACTGTTTTTGCACTGAACTGTGGTGTCTTTCAGAGGAAAGCATAGGCTGTTTTCGTTTTCAGACCCTGGCTGAAGCTTGAGAGAAAAGCAGGTGACACCGTGTTTACGTTGACCGTCCAAAGGCTAAGGAGGGGAAATCAAACAGGTTTCATGTCATTCGTTAGCAGTCTGTAAACAAGGTAGTCCACATCACCATGCCTAAGGTCAGCCTTTGTGTGTACAAGCAGGAATTTGGGGAGATTGGGGCAGTGTTTGGTGTTTCTTGCTGGTTTAAATTGATCTGTCGAGTAGTGTATTACTAAGCAGTGCCTGGACACATGGGACAGAGGGGCAATGTTCAGGGCATGAAACTGTCTGAAAGGATGCGGTAGGTGTTTGCACTGAATTTCATGTGGCCCAGGCTTGGAGATGCGCAGAGCAATGATAGAAGAGCACAAGAAAATGCAAGCTCATAAAAAAGGCAAGGAGCTGGTTATCAGCAGGTCCGGGTGCCTGGCGAGGGTCTGTGACTGTCAATGCCAGAGGCCACCGCTGTGTGGTTGTGTACATGTGTCCTCAGCAAACTGTTCTGCATAAACAAACTCAGCGCTCCGATGAAAATAACTTATTTCTAATCTATGCTGTTATTTTCTTTATCTCCAGATAATTAAAGTGCACCCTTTGAAGACGATAACCATGTTTTAAATATCAAAGGAACCTTTTCAACCCATATCTTTTGCTTGGCTGGAGCAACTTAAGTCTTGCCTTCTTTGGTAGCCTGCATGCAGAATAGTCCTCTTGTTCAGGAGGTTGGATTGTACCAAATGGGTCAGAAGTGTAAATATTTACTGCCATCTTTTGGCCAGTGTGGGTATGACTCAAAAAAAGAAAGTGGGTCAATCGAGTTACTCAGTTGTCATCTCCTTCAGCTTTGTCAACTGATTGTTATTTGACCACCAAACACAGCAGTCCACTGAGGAACGTTATTTTTTTGATAGTCATGTTATTGATCTCAAGCTACAAGTGAAGCAAGGTTTGTAGGGAGAGGTGCTCACTTTGATTTGAGCAAGCTGATAGGTTTTGGGGGAAAAAAGCTAACAGAAGTCTCTGAGCACATCCGCCATTCTCCAGGTTTTGAGACAGTGTGTGTTCGTTGCTCCAAGCTATCAGGAGCTTTGTGTTTTGCTTTGCTTTAATGCATAATCGGTAGGAGTTGGAGAGATGGTTGGAATTCCTTAAGTCAGAACCTGGAGCTACTGTCACATGGTCTATGGTCAAAATGGGTAGGCAGTGCATGGCCTGAAGGAAAAATGTTTTACTGCAAGTAACTGAGGTTTTAGACTGTTCGGGGTTTTTTTCAAGAAATGAAACTTGGGTGCACTTCAATCTACAAAAATATCAGAATGTCAGCAAATATTGGTTTATTTCAAAATGCATATATTTTAGCAGGGTAGGATATGTTGCATCACATTCCTCTGATCTTTTTTTCTTATATAGTGTACTGCTCAGTTGAAATGCTGATTAGGCAACCTTTCCTAATTGCGATACGGTATTTTTCCTCCACTTGACGTGTCAGGTTGCATTTTTAACCTCACACCTAATCAAACTTTCACTCCTGCAGGCCATGCAGAGACAGGTTTCCTGCTGCGGTAATAGACCATTCCTTGAAACTAGTTTGAAATTAATAGCAGCGAGGTACTTCACTGTTTCCTAAAGGCTGTGTCTCTTAGTGGACAAAGCCTTCTTTTAATGCAAGGAGATCTGTTATTAGAGCTTTTTAAAAAGATGAAATTTTTACCTGGGATTCATCTATTTTGCTGATTTCAGTACAATTATAATCTGATCCTTACCAGCTGGACCTCCACAATGTGCCACAAGGGAGTGTTAAAAACTTGCTCAATGTAAAACTTGATGTGTTGTTTATTTAGGGGGCGGCAGCATAGGTAATTGTCCTTCCGCTCACTGTTGTGCAGCTTGCATTCAGCAAGCACAATATGACTCTCTGCTCTTGTCTTGTATTTGTTTTAGGTGAAACTTCCTTTTCCTGTTGATCAAATCACAGATCTTCCAAGGAATGATTTCCAGATGATGATAAAGATGCACAAGCTAACCTCAGAGCAGCTCGAGTTCATCCACGATGTCCGCCGGCGCAGCAAGAACCGAATTGCGGCTCAGCGCTGCCGCAAGAGGAAACTGGACTGTATTCAGAACCTAGAATGTGAAATCCGCAAGTTGGTGAGTTGTGTGCTCTCACCATGGCCCCGCTTGCCCTTGTGCTGCAGCTTGCAGGGCACCGACAGCAATTCCTGTCCAGAGTTTAGTGGGTTCAGTCAGTTTGTACGTAAGTAAGCAGAGCCACTAGTATGAAAATTTAATATACAAAAATATATTAGTATGTGTGTGTAGATAATATATATGGAAAACACAAAATTCCAGTGGAATGAGGCCTAGATAACTCTTTATTTTGATATCTCAAGAGCAGATTGTTGAGTGAGTTGGAAGAAGAGGGAAGCCTGTATCACAGCTCCCTTCTTGCAGTTTAACTTACCCTCAGTACTTACAGTGCATCCACAAAGGCATTTCCTCATCCGAGCCCCATTTCCGTGTCTAACTACCATAACAGTCTGTTGGTCAGGGATTCATGGAGTGCTCAAAAGAGATAGGTATGAAGAGACCTTCAGAGGTTGTCTGGTCCAAACAATGGTGTGGCAGGGCCAGCTTCATCTCTACATAGAGATTTTCTTTCTCTTCGGCGTGCTAGAAGGCAGCTCAGCGTTTTCAGGACGTTTCAGCTCGCTATGCCTTTTCTTCAGCTCTTTCATTCACTGAGCAAATGGCAGAAATGGCAGGGGAGGTGAAAAGCCAGGAATGTGAATATCCAGACAAGTGGGCATCCCTTGGTGTAGGTCAGTGAGATGGCGAGGGCATGTTCCTCCTTGCTCCTGCTGTGTTCTCCCCTCTAACGCTCCTGGTGTGCTGTGGACTGAACCCCCCCCATGATTCAAGGACCATCTAACACAAAAGGCCTGTTCCCACTGCACAGTGCACTGGCCTTCATGTCCCGTGCACCGGGTTCAGGTGGCAACTGCTGGTTTGCCCCTACCCTCCTTGACGTGTGTCTCTGGCAGTAGTCTGCTGCAGAGGGGAGAGAGAGCAAAGCATGCCCTGCTCACTGTCCAGAGCACATCTGGGGATGGGTCTCCTGTGTGCCAAGGTGTCAGTGAATGGTGCTACCACATTTTAATCTAAGGGAGTGAATCTAAGGGAGTGAGGTGACTGGAGCAAGGCTAAATGGCTGCTCAGGAAATTCCTTTCTCTCTCAGTCATGGTATGGACACCTCAGGTGTGGTTTGGGTGGCTAAACACAGATGTCTGCAACATAAACACCTGCGCTGGAGCTAGTTGTCCTGGTTTCCTTTATAGTCAGTGAAGAGAAATAGATACCTGTCGAGTCTTATTCTTCTCATCCTGCAGCAGAGGAGGTGATGTACAACCCAGAAGTGCCTGTTCCTCTCTCCATCGCTAAACAAGATCACCTGGAGAGCCATGTCAGATGTAGACATCTTAGCTATAGGCACCTTATCTGAAAAAACTCCCCTCCTTTGTGACAGTGCCCCTGTGGTCTGAGGGCCCTGCTTCTCTTCCCCAGCCATCCCTTGCCCATTGAGAAAGCAAGCTGGTACACAATGAAAAAAAGGCTTGAGACAAGGGTCCTGGAGGAAGATGTGTCTACAGGGTGTCACTCAGCGGGAGAGATGCAACACTGGAAATTCAAAATGGGTTAGCACCGCCTCATCTGTTTAAAAGTCCTAAAAGCTTTCTGAGACATCAAAAATAATGTAATAGTCCCAGTTCAGCTGTTATGAGAAGTGTGGGTGTGCAGCATGCAGGACTGGACAGTTTAATTGCATTATGCAGCATAGATTTAGGAGTCCAGCATTAAACCCAGCCTTTGAATAGCCAAGGGTTAGAGTGATAAATTAATTCATTCACATAGATAAAACAAAAGGAGCTGAAGTTGATTTCCTTACTGAGATCTCTGTGTACCCAGCTTCCATTAAAATTAAAGGTTATTTGGAGTCTTTGATTTAAAAGTCTATGTTGCACATTTAAAACATGCTCAGCTGTAGGTTGAACTTGGTGGATCTGGGGAGCGGGGTACTCCTCGTTCTTGTCATAACAAGACTAGTTGGGTTGCATGTTGAAAGTGGCCTTTAGTGTAGGCTTCGTTGTGCTTCATTCTCTGCGCAAGCTGTAGTAGTGAAAGTAGTGTGAAAGAGGCAGGGATCTGTTGGAAGAAGCTAAGTTACCATCACCTCACAAATGGCAGAAAGCTGCATGACTTTGGGTTACTCGCTTACTGCCTGCGCCTCTCTGCTTCCCGTCTGTAACAGGGAGGTGACGCTGACCCCACAAGCTGGTTGGGAGGCTTAAATCATGAAGGCTTGCGAAGCAACCTTCAGGTGCCGTGCTGCTGAAGCCCTGGGGTGGGGGGGGAGAAACGAAAATCAAAACATTGTTCAGAGTAGTGCTCCACTGATGCAAAACAAACAAAACATCAAAGATAAACAAAATAGTGAGCAACGGCTTCCTGCACCGAGCATAATCCACAGTGCGTGTGGGGTGAGTCAGAGGCTCTGCAGGGTGAAAGAGCGGCTCCTTGTCCAGGTTGTCAGGAGAAGCAGGTCCAGTCTTGGCTGCACATACCCATCCCTCTGCACTGAGGTGATGATGATGGGGAGGAGTACGTCTCTCATTCTCCAGAGCAGAGCACCTGGGGCAGCTCTCTAAGGGCTGGACTAGCAGCAAGGGGGGGTTCAGCTTGGTACTTGTAGCCTTCACTTAAAAATTAATTTGGGTTCATTAGCTTTACGCAATCCTGTGACATTACTGTTATCGTCTAACATAATCAACTGTGTATAGGCAAAATAAATTTTTTAAGTCCCCTTCTCTCCCCAGCACACACACACATCTCAGGGAAATGAATGAAAGGCATATGAGTGACCTTGTGGGCCTGATCCCTGCTGAATTTCAGGAAGCAAAAACCCTTTGAGGTGCAGGATTCTTCAAAAGAAATGCTGAAGTTTCTATTTAGCAAGCTGGACTTGAGTATGTAGCGATATGTAGTGAGTGAGCCAACTAGGGAAGGCACCCTGCTGGACCTGTTGTTTGCGAACAGAGAAGGACTTGTGGGTGATGTGATGGTTGGAGGCTGTCTTGGGCATAGCGATCACAAAATGGTAAAGAGTTTTTGATTCTCAGAGAAGTAAGGAGGGGGGGGTCAGCAGAACTGCTACCTTGGACTTCCGGAGGGTAGACTTTGACCTGTTTAGGAGCCTGGTTGACAGAGTCCCTTGGGAGACAGTCCTGAAGGGCAAAGGAGTCCAGGAA